TAAATGGGGTCCTTAGTGGCAGGTAACTTTTAATATATCCAGTATATTATAAGCATTGTATGCAAATACACCATCAACCATCTGTTACAAGTCAGTACTAAAAATGGGGATTTAGCCTGTATTTCCATCCATATGTTTGAATACATGCCTGGCATTTTGGGTGAGCTGCCCCATTAGCAAGAGCAGGCACTGTGAGGGAGCTGCAGATGACCAAAGTAGGACCCAGCTTGCCCAGACTGCCTGGAGCAAAGGAACTGTTTGCTTACTTTCCAGAAACAAGAAAAAGGGGATGTTAGCATCCTGAAATGGACCTTTTATATCATCCTTTGGTCAGGAAGCCTTTTATTACCTGCAAAGCATCTATGCAGTGTCCAAAAGATATTTGCATCACTGCAGGAACATGCCAGTTTTGCAGCAAATACCAACTGCAGGTTCCCACCCCAGCCTTCCAGACTGTACCTTGCAGCAGCACCCAAGGTGGCTGTCTCAGGCAAGCATCTCCCATCTCAGCACCTGTGCCAAATAGCAGCTACAGTCTTAAATCCTCAATAGCACAGAAAGAGGGAGGAAAAAACATGGGAAGTCCAGCAGATTTCTTACTGTGCTATTCATCTGGTGTGACAAGACTCAGGAAAAAAGGGAGGTAAATCTGTCTGCTGGAGTGTTAACATGCAGCACCAGGAACAGACTAGGGCAGGGACCACACCATTTCACCCCAACACATCCAGTTCAGGCTTCCACCAACCCATGAGCCGTGGCCTGGTGCATCACATGAAAAACATAGCAGCACAAGCGTGGCATGCATGCACCAACGGGGGGGGGTGTAACATGAAAGACATGAAAAGCTGAACCCAGCAACTCTGTCACACCAACAGGAGATGCTCCCTAAATAACTGCCAGCATACAGCTGCTAGGACTGCAGGAGAAAACCTAATTCCATGGCAGCAAGCAGGAAGACAGTAACAGATTAAGTTCAAGACAGCTATGGGAAAGCTGAACAATGGACCAGCTTCACAACAAACCAAAGGCATGTTCTCTTGATTTCCAATACCCAACTATTTCACCACCTTTAACAAATGTAACTTCACAAGGTATGGGACTAACAGCAGTAATATTATGCAGATGGATGACTGAGGAGCAAAAAGGACTAACCTATCATCATGCCTCAGTGACTACAGGCAAGGATCTGATGTGTGACCTCCTCAAGGCCTGGGCTAACCCTGCTTACTGAAATGCAGCAACCAGTTTCCAAAAATCAGCTCTGGAATACTAAAGTTGAGACCTTCAGCAGCACTTCTGTTGCAACAGATAAGGACTCCTACCAGACAAGAAAATAACTACAATCAACAACAATGAGAACAGCTTCTTAATACCAATTCAGTATAAGAACAAAAATACACATGTATGAACTAAGTTACTCCGTAAAACAACCCGCTGAAGACATCTTAAGACAAACTCTTCCCAAATAATTAAGTCTTTTAAATATGAATATAAACTTACTTTGTACCTCAGGAATAGATCCTGAATGAGCATTTGATAGGGCTTGGGACTACTCCAGTGACCAACATTTTAAGTTATATGCTTCTAGATCCAAGGCAGAGCACTTCTGACATCTCTCTGCAGTGTTTTGTTGTCAACTACCAACAGGAGATGGATGACGAGGTGCTTAAATAAAAACCAGCCTGTACAGCTGTGAAGGTAACATCAGCTCTGCAGAAGGGTAACTGCAAGCCTTAACAAATCTTCCTTTTGCTATGAGATTCAAAGAGATACTGTTTCAAAGGCCTTACACCTACTCCTAGTCCATTCTCATAATTAGGCTCCACAAAGAGACACAAAATTTAAATTCCAACAGGTTATTTCCTACCTTGCCAAGCTACATTACTTGGCAGAGAAGTGATGCAATAAGAAGTCATTACTCAAGAAAAATAAATTCGATACACTCATATGACCTTGAACATACCCCATTATGTAATTTGGGGATTCCTCTGCAGTGTGACATCAGTTAATATGTATTCCTCTTTCTTACTGTATTGTTTCTAAATGAACATCTTTAATATCTTGAAAACAGATGTAAAATATCCACGCTCGTTAACACTTTTGGTTTTCTTTTAAACTAGCCATTCCAAACTACCATCCTCAGACATGTGTTGTTCTTCTTCTCATATTGTGAGATACGGGAGAAAGGATAAGTCACACAACAACATTAAAAAAAAATAAAAATCAAACATAGAAAAATTCAACAGGGTTGGAGTGACGAGTTTTTTTACCCTGTTTCAAAACAAAAAAGCACCCATTATATTTGGTTTTATTTGTTTGTGAGGTCATACTCAAAAAGACCTCTTTTTTTGTACATTACCATTTCTGAATGTGTAGAAATCCCCTTTTTGTCTATCTCATTCTTTAAGGTCACTAAATCCAGACCATCTGGATAATAAAGTTACCAAGTTAGTTCCCTATTTCTCTATTTAAAACTTCTATACAGCTCATATGGAAAATTTGTCTACAGCCAAAAAACAACTGAAGTGTAAAAAGCAGCTGCAGGGAAATGATGTCACTTGTACAGCAGCGATACAGCAGGCAGAGCTGTCACCACATGGGCACCAGGAAGACCCTGTTTTATTGTTCATTTCCTCTTTTGAGCCAAATAACCTATACTTGAAAGAAAAACACCAAACAACCTCAAACAAACAAACAAACAAAAAAAACAACAACAAAAAACCAACTCAAGATTATAAGGACCTTTCAGAGAAATGCTACTTGCACTGAAGCATCAGTGGTAAATTTTTAGCAAGATCAAGACAAAATCTGGTATTTTGAACTATTTTTTTTTTATAGAACTTGTCCACTTTCATCAGTAAGAATAAAAGGATCAAAAACACAAGCAGCAGAACTACGCAAAGCAGTCTCTTTTCTCTCATAGGCAGAGACCAAGAGGAGTTGGTTTTGCAATTCTGACTATTACTTATGTAAATGCAGGTGATGAGGAGACAACCTTCACTTTGCTCCAGCAGGGAGCTCATTTTCCACCACAATCATCACCTTCAACACACAAGTCTAGTTGTTACCAGTTATTACTTTTAATTTACCAGGCAGTTAAGGATACACTCTCTTAACTTTTTGCTTTACAGGGTCATGCACACACTGCTATTTGGGCCAAAGACAAGTTCAGGGGAGGTGTCGTCCCTCTTTCCAGAAGACTCTCCTCCACCAGGAGAAAACAGGGGACTTCTTTCATAGTCATGAAGGACAAGGATTCAGGTCCTTCACAGGAAGTCTCCTAGCACTGCTCCACCAGGTTACAAATCCTATGACTAGCCAGCTTTTAGTAATCCCATTTGTAATAACGGAGCATCACTTCTCAGCTGCAGGGTCTTCTGTAGTTTGACCCTCAGAAATCAAGTGCTGCCTCCCCTCCTCTCTCATATCAAGAGGCAGTTTTAACATGAACAGAGATAACTGCTAATACTTCTTCAAGACATCACCCTGCTTCCTTAACAGTAAAATATCATCTGAAAATAAACACTTTCCTACAAATTTTCAGAGGTTTAAATAAAATCCCTAAAATTTATATCATAACATATTAAGATGAAAGGATGTAAAAACATAACATACGTTTCGTTAAATACGTGCATTACACAAAAAAAACCCCTACTATTTCATAGCACCTACATATCTGCTGGATATGAATTATAACTATGGTGTCATAACCTAGAAACAAGTTTAACAAATTGTTATACACCAACATTAGACAAAATAGCTCTTTCCAGTCCATTTCTGACTGTACTATACATGTGCACATATGCTCAAAGTACATCATATTTAATTTTTAATGGAAATATATCTATGTATAAAAAATACAAAATTCAACTGTGTCCATTTTGTTCCTACATCACAGACCATACTGGAGTATGACTCCAGTGTCCCAATTAAGTATCAGTGTTTGCACTGGCCACACAAAACCATAATGCAGATGCAATAAATAAAAGCACCCAACATTTCCACCATAGACCCATCACACAGATGGCCTCAAAATCCTGAGCCTGCAACTCAGGATTTTAGTTTTAGAACAAAATATTTGAATACATATCACTGATAAATAACAGTGATGAGCAAACTACAGGCATATTGTAACCAAACTTAATCAATTCAACTAGTAAATAACGATCTTACTGACTGAAAGTGGTTACTAAGCATCAGATTGTAATAAAAAGCTTTAGAAATAAAGCAGAGGAAATAGGTAACACTTCAACATTAATGAAAATAACATTTTCATGAAATATGTCAGGAAATTTCTCAAAAACATTTTGCGTTCCTTTCTTCCCACATTTCACACTGCATTACTCTACTTAGACTTACCCAGCGCATGAAATGATCTCTTTTCTTATAGCTGTTCACGTCTTTCCCCGCTAAGTAATTAGCAAGCTACCTCTCCTTTGACAGAGGGTACTAACAAGCTCCTACAGTTTCCAGTAGGACAAGGAATCCAAAGCTACTAATAGCAAACAAGTCATTTAAGAAAAAAAGGATTACGAAGGCTCGTTGCAAAAGGCTGGAAACTCACCCGTATTTCAGATTAAGGCTTTCCGAGGAGCTCTTTTGTAATGAGTTTTTACTCCATTTTACAAAAATATTTCATTCTTTTTCTCTTAAAAATCAAAACACTGATTTGAATTTCTACTGATAATTCTTTCTCTTTGAAAATAACTAAGTACTAGAAAGACAGGAAAGTGTTTTCAAAAAGGAGAATGACGGAAACATGAGTTTTGTAACAAAACGTCCCTCCCGAGATCTCAAAGTTTGAAGAAAACAAAAGTCACACGAACTTTTTGAAAAAGACTTTCCATTCTTGGCTACCAGGACACCAAAGTAAGCTGCAAATCAAGCCAGAACATAGCTTAGTTGAAAAATTTCATTGCCAAAAAAATCCCTCTAACCATGGCCCTGTAAAGTAAAGTCCGTTTAGATGAGGAAGAGCTCGTGAACAGAGACCCGCATACCTTGAGGACCTCCATGGGGACCTGAGTGGCAGGCGGCAGGCTGGTAGGGACACTGACGTTGATGGCAGGTGTCTGGCTGACTGGTACTCGCTGCTGCATGAACTGGGCTGCTTGCTGCTTCTGCTGCTGCTCCCGACGCTCCTGCTCCTGCATCTGCTCACGCATGAGCTGCTGTCGTAGCAGGATTCGTGAGGTCATGCTGGAGGAGCTTAAGGGAGGCTTGGAAGCGCCAGGATGCTCGGAATTGCTGTGGGAAGACCAAAGAGACACAGTTCAGCTTCCACAAGTGGGATTGCAGCTATGGTGGTGGGAGCTTGCAGAATTCCAGGGGAACGCAGGGCGGGATGGGTGAGGATCCGCCGCACCGCGCGGGGGGAATTCGGAGCCGACCTACTTCAGGTACTTAGCAGCCACATTAGGCTGCCTTAACTTGACTGCAGCTCACCACTTCCAAACACCAGTGCCCAGCTGTAAAGAGCTATTTGCTGTTTCAATTTTTACAGCAACCATCCACAAGAAAAGCAAATGCTTTGCGAGGCAGCAGCAGGCACTCATACTGCTTTTAATAACAGGGAATAAAGGCTATCTGAAGTCTAATGATAGGTATAGGTAATACTCCAGGTCTAACAATCTAGCTCCAGAATTCATAGATAAAATAGATCCACCTCTCCAGTGACAGCACAGCAGAACTTTGGTTCACCTATTTTCTACTAAATGCTACCTAGGGGTTGGATTTGCTGGTGGCAACACTCTTCATAGCCAGAAACAGACACAAAAAAAACCTCACCTCCCACCTCTGGCCTACCAGCATCATCTGCGTGCAGTGAGATAGAACAGGCAGAATAAACAACAATAACAGTTTTATTTCACTCACACTTCATAGAGCCCACCAAGCTGTCCCAAGGGTAGCACTCTGTGCTGCTCTACCGCTTAAGAACTATCTCTAAGCCACTGGCAAGCAGAGCTTCCTACCAGAGAGCATGGGACAAACCACTGGACTTTGCCACGGACTGCAGGAACACCTTCTAATGCAACCCACTATTTTGTAAGCCCTCAGAACTGCATTACATTTATAAGACATTTCTGTAGCATAAAGCAGAACAATTAGGGTATGTAAATACTAAGCTGCACATCCTTCAAGGGAACAATGTTAGAAATGGATAAGAATACACGACTTCATAAAAGAAAGAGCTATAGGGTGTATAATTCAGGGTATCTGGTTTCTGATTCCAACTGCTGCAGCTGATTGCTGTCAGCTCATGGAAGGATAGGGCTCACAAGGCTAGAACAATGCAGGGCCATGCCTGGGGAAGCAAGAAGTAACGCTTCCACTCTATGAGGAGACAGCTCTTGAACATCCCACCTTTAGCTCCAGTGTTCAGGTGGTACCTGCAGAATGCTGAGGAGACAGCTTACAAAGGAATCCAGGAGCCAGCATCCCCTCCATGTCTGGCCTGCAGGCTGCAGGCACTAAGGGCTACTTGTATTTGGACAACTGGAGCCAGTGCTTCTAGGAATTTTCTAGCTTTGTTTAGGATCAATGTTGAAAACAGAGTAAAAACGAAAAAGGAGAACTCACATTTAGTCTCCCAGGAGAGCCAACCCTGCTTTTCCAGAGCACACATTTGGGGGCAGGGAGGGAAGGAAGGAGGGAGAGCGGGGACCATCTTGCTATTTAAGACCTGTCAGGTTGAAACATTCACAGAGACACTGATCCTTTTGATAAAACAAGAGAAAACCTTTGTGGTGAAACTAATGCAGCTGTGGAATAATCGCACTAATTAGCTGCCCAAGACAAGTCATTGACTGTGATACTCGTAAAAACCATCACCCTTTCAATTAAGGGTGAAGCATTTCACATCTAAACTCAGCAGTGTGTTTTCTGAAAACAGCTGAACCACTTGCACATTTCCAAACCAAGGACATGTTTATGCCCCAGACAGGATTGCTGTAAATAGTGGATTCCAAATTTTTTTTTTATTATGCATTGTTACCAGGAAAAATGTTTGAGCATACACCCCAAATATATATATTTATTCATATGCATGTATTACTGATTACCCCACTGTGGAGGTCACTGTAATAGACAAGCAAAAGAAGGCACTCCAATGCTGCTTTTAAGGGAGGATTTATTCTCCTCATGTTGAGGAAAAGCTTATTTTGTATTACACTGAGTAGGATTCCCATTCATACCTACAGGAAAGCTGGGGAGGGGCTTTTCACCAGTGAGGGCAGTGATAGGACAAGGGGTAATGGTTTTAAACTGAAAGGGGGGAGATTTAGGTTAGACATCAGGAAGAAATTCTTCACCATGAGGGTAGTAAGGTGCAATAGGTTGCCCAGGGTGGTTGTTGATGCCCCCTCCCTGGAGGTGTTCAAGCGCAGGTTGGATGGCAAAGGGGTTGGAACCTGATGAGCTTTAAGGTCCCTTCCAACTTATCCATTCTATGATTCTGTGATTCTAATGGCATTTTTTACAGATATCTAAATGCTGACAAATTGGCAACCCAGCAGTTCCTCCCACCTTCTTTTATTTCAAACTGTTTCTCCACCTACCATCTCAGAAGAACCTTCCCATATATTAGAATTCTGGGCAATATGAGGGAGAAAGGAGAAGGAGAACTTATTTTCATGGCATTTCAAACAGCCCCTGCCAGGAACCTCATCTCATTCATGTGATGACTGCGCCTACTCACACCAACAACTCAACAACTGTCCTTACAGCTTCTTGCAGATGAGTCAGGGGTCTACCCTGGATAGATAATTGTCAACAAAAGTTTCAAATATTGTGTCTTTAAAAGAAATAAGTCCATGAAAATGGTGTTCTACCAAATTCTTCCCCAAAGGGCAGAGATGATTCTAGGCTTTATTTCTTTTGCAAGTCTACTCAATATTTTAATTATTCACTGGAAAAAGGGCTTAGACATACTACAGTAGGTACTGCAAGGCTGAGCAATGTACTTTTTAAACAAATACCAAAAGAAGAGCAGACACCAGCAAAGGGAAGAGTCTGACCTTACTCACATCCAAAACACCAGATTTTGGTGGCCAGAAAAAGCCCGAAAGGAGATCAGTGAAGGTCCTGTTCATCCTTATTTCAAAAGAGAAGCCAGAAACCAATGTAGCTACAACAGAGCTGAGACCTCAACAGTTGCATGGTTCTCCTATTTGTGAACGTTATAATTAGAGCTAGTGAAGGGGCACACAAGGCCTGGGCACAGGCAGGACTGGCAGCAATCGTGCTGCCAGGCCACAGCTACTGTTCAACACATTTGAGTTCCAATAATACTGTTATCTGGGTTAAAAGCTGCCACACGACACCTGCCTGCCTGGCCAGATGTTCTGGTCACAGGCACTTTGAAGGAAACCAGACAAGCATGAGACAGTTCCTGCCATGTAGATTCCATGCTATTTATCCCCCTGGAACTGTGATGCTCATCCCATTGGCATGGTGGTCTCACCACACCAGCCCTCCTTCAACTAGCCACGACTGGTACTGAACAAATGTGAAAAACTGCATGAAACATTGGTAGCTTCTTCTCTAAGTTCTGCACACAACACGGATTGTCCTCCCACCCAGCTCCCCTTCCCTTCCGCTCCCTCCTCTCAACCCCAGGACACTCCACGCAAAACTCCAAAATAGAATGGAAGAAGGTTTGGGTTACATCACCACCTACCCTCCTGAGAGCAAACGGGAGCAGCTTTGTCAGAAACTCACTTTTCCAATTAAAAAAAAAAAGCTATTAAAAACTTGTTATGCCAAAGGCTTCATCAGAAGAGTTTTGAAAATGTGTACTTTTAAAGCTTCTTGACCTTTAGGCACTGCTGCACAGACAGATGTTCTCCCATGACCAAGCCCAGTGCCACGTACCGAAGCACAACCCAGAATCTGAACACATGGGTTCCAAACTCTCATACATGAACTGATTCACCCCTGGATTATGCAGACTTGGTAACAGAGCCCACACACACAACTGATACACAATGTGATTTAGATACTTCCTGCAAACACTGTTTATGGATACCTTTTAATTGCAATAAACGAAACCGACTCATCCTTTTAATTGATAGATGATTAAGCCAGTTATCCATTAGTCTAATAAGCATAGTGTAATACAGACTGAGAGCTGCTGGTTATGAGTGTCACGTGCCAATCCAATTAATCATGAAGTGATAACATTTTATTAAATAAGTTTAAATTACATATCTTTTGCACAGATGGCTGGGAAATGTTACTGCATACGTAAGTTATAATGCAGATGGGCCATAACAAAAGGCAGCTGATCAGGTTAAAATCAAGTTTGATTTTGTTGCCATCAACTCAAGAGATTACAGAGACCATACCTTTTAGAGCCTAATCTGTCTTCCCAGATGTGTACTGATCTCTGCCTCCTTGGGCAAAAAGACAAACTAGTCTTTTCTTGGTCTGGTGTTTTTTTTCAGAGTCTTATAAATCAATCAAACAAGTTCTGTGGTTCATGTGCCTTATTTACATGAGTTTTCTCGTTTACAAACATTATTTTGCATTAGCTATGTATTTCTTAAGAAACTTCTCTGGAGATTTTGAACAGGAAAAAGTTATTTAACTCATCTTTGCTTGTAATTACTGTTTAGAGGTTTCTTAAAAAAAAAGAAAAAGAAAAAAAAAAGAAAAGAAAAAAGCCTCCAACGTAAGGTTTCTTAGATACACATATCAACTTCTCAAATAGAGATGAACAAGAATCAAATAAAATGCATTTAAAAAGAGAGCTTTCAAAAGCACTTGCTCTGGCAGGATCAACTGCTGTGCTATAAGCAAATAAATAGCACAGAAGAGGGAGGCTGGTGCTTTCCTCTGTTCATGCCAACTGTTTGTTAATGGGCTAGTCCACAGAAAAATCAGCCAAGAAAAGCAGATTTAGAACCTCCAGAAATCCAGAGCTGCACCAGATCTCGGAGGTCAGAGGTAAGAAATAACACGGGATTTAAATGCTTGTGTTTCATGTCTTACCCTTATCCCATTCATAATTATTTATAGAGAAAAGACACCCACATTTAAGCATCTGACATTAGCATAAAACTACCTTGATCTTTAAAGCAAGCAGATGAGAGAATGCCAACATCACAACTCAAATACATGGCTTGACCTCCAGAAGGCTTCAACACCAGAGACCACCATACAGCTCCCCTTCCAACATCCCTCTCCTCTTCAATGACCACTACAGGTTCCTCAAAACTGAGCTTATTTGTGCAGATTCTGATTTCAGTCTCTCTACCAAGCAGTAAAA